TCTCAATAGCCCTAGAAAACAGAACAACATCTACAAGGACCTGAGAAAAATAAAAAGTATTATCCAAAGATGCTTATTCAGTGAAATTGTCATTTATATATAAAGACAACAGATAAATAGTTTCATTTAATTCAGAAAATATAGTTCTCATAAATCTTTCTTGAAAAACCTACCTGGGGACAAATGCCGGTCCATCAAGATATTAATAGAAATGCAAATGGCCTCTCCATGTGGCTACTTGGGTTTTTTCCTAGCATAGTAGCTTGCTCCCAAGAGTGGGCATTCCAAAGAGAATTAACTGGAGTCTGTATTGCCTTCTACGACCCATCCTCAGAGATTACATGGTGACACTTTCACCAAGATCACAAGCCCTTCCAGATTCAAGGGTAGGAAACAAAGATCCCACTTCTCAATTTTAAAAATGTGAAATTCATATTGTAACGAAGAGCATGTGAAATGGAAGATATTGATGTGGTCATCTTAGAAAAATACAATATACCACAAACATATCTTTAATTTCCAAGAATTTTTTTCTCATCCTCTTATTGTACCTTTCTAAAATAGCATCCTAATCTTGTTTTGTGAATACAATGACTTATCTTTTCTGGATATTAATGATAGGATTTTAAAACGTTTCCTGTTCTGTGTCTTGACTCTATCAATGTTAATATCCTTGTGATATCATACTATAGTTTTGTAAGCTATTTCTGCCTTAACCTGTTTGTACTGCTATAACAGCCCACCATAGACTGGGTGGCTTATACACAACAGAAATTTATTTCTCACAGTTTTGAAGGCTTGGAAGTCCAAGACAAGATGCTGGCTGATTTGGCGTCTCATCAAAGTCCACTTTCTAGTTTATGGATAGCTGTCTTCTCACTGTCCTCACATGGCAAAGGAGCAAGGGAGCTCTCCAGGGACTCTTTTATAAGGGCACTAATTCCATTCATAAGGCCCCTGCCCTCATGACCTAATCGTCCACCAAAGGCCCCACCTCCAAATACCATTCCACTGGGGATTAGGTTTCAACACAGGAATTTTGAGGAGACATAAACATTTAGCACATGGCAGTTACCATTGAAAGAACCTGGGTAAAGAGTACAGGAGATCTCTATTATTTCTTACAACTTCAAGTAAATCTACAGTTACCTCAAAATATAAAGTTAAATTTGTAAAAACTTAGAAAGTTTTCTTCTATTATTTGAATTTCTTCTGTTTACTTGGACTTCTCTTTTTTTCAGTTTTGTTTTGTTTTTGTGTCTGCCTTTTATATTGGAAATTTTCTTCATCTGCCTAGTGGTCTCCAGCTAAACATTGGTATTTAAAATCAAACCATTAAAATGCTGATTGCAAGCACTATTTACCTGAGTAGGGCTTGAGAACTCGAAGGCCTCTCCTAGGATTATCATGTCAGCTGTTTTGTCAATTGGAGAAAATAGCCTGGGACTATTTATTTGGGGCTGTTTGGTATCTCCAAGTAAAATCCTTCCAATTTTTCTGTAAGAACTTAAGTATTGGAATTCTGCATTAGGGTCGGAGAGAAGACTTGAAGTAGGATTTCCTCTTCTATCTGGATGAGGACCTCCAGTACCCGTTAGTTTGCACTGGGCCCACTTAACTTATTCATGTTACTTGTCACCTTCTCTAGTCATTTGATTTTATGCTCACTGCCCATGACAGAGTTTTCTTATCAACAAGATTTTTCACTCAAGCCAATTGTGTGTCTTCGTGCTGCCAGGGGCTTACACCTACATGGCAGACACTGTTGATTGCCATTCCCAATCCCTTTTTCCTGGCTGAAGAAAACAGACATTCACCTTCCCATTCCTTTTTGCAGATTGGGGTGACAATATGATGCAGTTCTGGTCAACTGGGTCATATGATAATTCTGCTGGTGTGGTTCTTTTCACCCCTGGTAAGAAGAAAAAACAGCACATGGATGCCTTTTGTTATCCTTCTTGCTGAATTATTTGAAATAAAGGTGTGATGCCTGAAGCTTTGACAGCCATATGGCTACCATGAGAGAAAAGGCAAGGAATTGAAGAGCAGCCAACCCAGAGCCCTAAAATATTTAAGTTACTGAATTAACCAACTCTGGAATTGTTTATCCTTTAGACTTCTATTTAAATGAGATAATTTCCTCTCTAGTTAAGCCACTGTCACTTGGTTATTATGCTACTTGCAGCTAAAAGCATTGTTATGGATGTATGTTTCAGAGGAGAAAATAATTTTTTCCCAGAGAAATTACAGCCCAGTGCAGCAGTGTCATATGGTGAGCATCACACCTTAAGAGGGATGCTGTCATATAAGAGTAAATACAGAAGAGATGCCCGGGGTGGTGGAATCAGCAAACCTGTCACAAGAGGAACAACTATAGGAAGGCAGACGTTGCACGTGGAGAAGAGACAAATTGGAGGATGTGAAAAGTATCATTTGATATTTAAAGGATCTTAACGTGAAAGAGGAAAATGCCATTCTAAGGGGCCACAGAGATCAAATAAGACAGAGTCCATTTTACCCTCCCCTCATTTCCAAAGGTTGAGTGTGAATATGGAGAAATGTGTGAAATGGAAACAAGGAGGAAGAAGTGAAAGGATAGACTCAGAGTTGCCATGATGGCTTCAAGAGAAACCAGGAAGAGCCTCTGACTTTCTTTTCTTTCTTTCTTTCTTTCTTTTTTTTTTTTTTTTTTTTTTTTTTTTTGAGGCAGAGTTTCGCTCTTGTTGCCCAGGCTGAAGTGCAGTGGCACGATCTTGGCTGAAACCTCCACTTCCTGGGTTCAAGCGATTCTCCAGCCTCAGCCTCCTGGGTAGCTGGGATTACAGGCATCCATCACCATGCCTGGCTAATGTTTTATATTTTTAGTAGAGATGGGTTTCACCATGTTGGTCAGTCTGGTCTCAAACTCTTGACTTCAAATGATCCACCCGCCTCGGCCTCCCAAAGTGCTGGGATTACAGGCGTGAGTCACCGCACCTGGTCTCTGACTTTCATTTCTTGGATAGGATGGTTGTTGGGAGAGAAGGGGGAACAAAAAGCTTCTGCATTATTTTCTTAACTTTGGGTCTATATTACACATTGCCTGAGACTTTTACGAAATGATGCACACCCCAAGGAAGATGGAAGAAATAAATATACAGAAATTGACAGAGGGAAAGTATAGGAAGCTGGAAAAATGTTAAAAAAAGAAAAAAGTGAAAATACTTCCCTGAAGGGTACTGTCAGGTACCCTTCAGGTGCTGGGAGGATTTAAAGATGAATAATGCATGGCACCTGCCCTCAAGAAGCTCTCATTCCACTTAAAGAGAAAAGCAGAAACACATGAAGTAGTAGCCTTGGAACTGAATTCACTACCCCAGATTTGGAACACTAGTAGGCATGGCCCTGCCCTCTCTGGCCTTGGTCACTCAATTATACTATGCCATCCTCCTCTCAGCCATACTATACAAATGATGGAAAGATTGTGTTGAGTAATGTCTTAATCTGTTTGTGTGGTTATAATGAAATACCACAGACTGCATGATTTGTAAAGAACAGAAATTTATTCTTTTGCAGTTCTGGAGGCTGGACAGTCCAAGATTAAGGTGCCAACAGGTTCGGTTGTCTGGTGAGGCCTGTTCTCTGCTTCCAAGATGACAGCTTGTTGCTGCATCGTCCAGAGGGGAGGAATGCTGTGTCCTCATATGGCAGAAGACCAAAGGGCTAGCGAGCCTAATGTTGCATGAAATCTCTTTTATAAAGGCCTTAATCCCATTAATAAGGGAGGAAGCCTCATGGCTTAATCATCTCTTAAAGGCTTCGCCTCTTAACACCATCACATTGACCATTAAATTTTAGTACCTAAATTCTGAAGGGGACATATTTAAGCCATTTCAGCTAAGTAGCACAGTGTGAAGATTATCCAAGGAGTATTTAGTAAAGAAGGAACAAAAACAAAGGGCAAATGCCTTCTGGGGAACTATTTAGACAATGCTAAAAGTGAGATAACTTTCTTTTCTTTTCTTTTTGCAATAAAACAAATGTTTAATTTAATTCAGAATAAGAGATAATAATTCTTCAATAAAATATATAAAATTGTACAAGGCATCCTTTCAAAGGGGTAAAGGCGTACTGGAGGGAGGGGAGAGATGGAGAGGAAGGTGAAATATCAGGGAGCTTAATGGGCTGTTTGGCAACTCCATTTTCACCAAGTCAAAACATGGCTTTATTTTCTGCCCCCAGCATGTTAAAAATTATCTAAAAGTTTCTAATAAGTTTAGCACATACAACAGGTACACACACAGAGAAAGCATATTTTTTTTTTCTTTCTGGATCTACTAATTGTTCAAGAATATTTAGCACATAGGTAGTGATTACAAGGTACTCATTTTTTAAGCAGAAAATTACTATAGCCCCGCACCCAAATCACCTTTGCAATCTGTGAGGATGAGCGTACCTAGTGTTTCTCAGAAACCATCAATTCCTCCCAGCAGGCTTTAACTTTTTACTCTCCAATTATCTGAAATGAAGCAACAGCCTTGAGAAGAATTAGGAAATATTTCTAATTTTCTACATCACCTCTAGGCATTCTCAGGATTCTTCTCATCCCAGTTATTGGTCTTACAAAAAAATTCTTTAAAAAGGTAAAACTGTGAAAATGTGTGTGTGGTGGGGTGAGGGTGGGAAGAGATAGGAACAAATATGATAGTATATAAAAAGGTTTCTTTTAATGCAAGCAAAATGCAGAAATGTGATATGTCACCTTCACTTTGAATAATCTCTCCATATCTAATACTTTCTATGTGCATTGTATCCAATTCTAATATTTGTTTTCCATAAACAGAAGTCGATAATCCCATCAAAATCATTGACTTTATCAAATTTTGCAAACAATTTGTCTCCCTCTTTAAGAAAATACAACAAATGGACTTACACAGTCTCTTTAAGAAGGTGATATATAGAAAAAAAGCACATATGTATATAAATGTTGCCTTTTAAAATAATTTGAATTTTTACATCTACTGTATAAAAATGTATTATATTTTATTATATACATTTATACATAAAAACCATCAGAGCCTTTCTTTGTGAAAGGAGAAGGGGGCATCTGGAAGATTACACCAAGAAAACAAGGCTTGGTGCCTCCGCCTAAAGAACAAATTTCAACTATGTCGTGTGGCCCTGTCGGCCAAGCCGCTTAGGGTGGTGCACGCAGGGTGTGCGGAGCAGGAGTACTGGCTGGTCCTGCCTTCTTGGAGAGGGAGAGGAAACCCTTTGAAACAAACATCCATCACGGAATCTATTGATCTGGTCTTCCTTAGGACAGGTGGTACATGCCATATCCCACTGGCGTGGCATAGAGTCCCACGGGCGGGATGCGAAGCACAGGTCTATGGAACGGGTAGGATGCCCCGTATATGGACGCTGCCTGCCGGGGCGAGCTGATGGGGAAAGGGAGACTGAAGCTGGAGGATAGCATGGGTTTTGCAGTCATTTTCAGCTTTTCCAATTCTGACTCCGGCAGTTTTCGGTTCCGGAGCCAGATTTTGACTTGAGTCTCTGTGAGGTTCGGAGAGCTGGAGAACTCCGCACCCTCTGCAATGGAGAGGTACTGTTTCTGGCGGAACTTGCGCTCCAGAGCGAGGAGCTGGGAGTTGGTAAAGCTGTGCGCGGCTTCGGATTGGTCTTGAGTTTTCTCAGCGTGCAGGTGGTAGGGCTCATATGTCTTGGCGGGGCGAATATCGACCGGGTTCCTGCATCCACGCCGCTCCGTCTCAGGGAGTTTTCCGACTTGACCCAGGCGGTCTCCAAGGGCTTCATCGGCTGCCCCCGGCTGTGCGCTTCCCCAGCGCGGTGCCCCAGCAGCAGCAGTGGCCGCAGGGTGGCCCCGGCCCAGGCGCTTTCGGCCGGCACTGGGGATGCCTCCCCTGGGCGGTTTCTTGTCGGACACCAGCGGGTCCACGCTGTAGGGCAGGCTGGAGACCTTGACGCGGCGCTCCTCTGCGGCCGCCTGGGCGTCCCCAGGCCCCGGACCCGGCCCGGCCCCCACCCCTGGGCCCTCCTCATCCGACGAAAACAGAAGCTATGCCTTCCCTGCGCTACGTAGCTCCCGACGCGAGACTCCGCGGGCAACCCGGGAGCGGCGACTCAAACTTTTTTGCGAGGGAGACGGGAGGGCGAGATAACTTTCTAAATTCCACAGTGGGGAATGAGGCAGGGAGGTGGGGAGTAGAAAAGAATGTAACTGTTCCAGAGTTAAGATGAAGCAGTTGACCATTCATCACAGATACTTCTCTATAGATGAAGACCTCTCTAGGTTTTCTCTTGTGGTTGCAGGGAACTCTGAGTTTCAAATCCCATTCCTATTTCTTGCCTCTGAACTTGGAGTCAGAAGCACCAGGTTTCAGGGCAAACTCTGCCACTCACTTACTGTTCACCTTTGAGCAAGTCACTTCTCTCTGAGTTTTCTCATTTGTAAAAACTGTTTAATTTAACAACAATAATAATATATCCACTGTCGGTTTCATTAAAAGAATGAGATAAAAGTGTGGAAGTGTTAGGCCGGGCACTGTGGCTCACGCCTGTAATTCCGGCACTTTGGGAGGCCAACGCGGGTGAATCACCTGAAGTCAGTAGTTCGAGACCAGTCTGGTCAATGTGGTGAAACACCGTCTCTACTAAAAATACAAAAATTAGCCGGGCATGGTGGTGGGTGCCTGTAATCCCAGCTGCTTGGAAGGCCGAGGCAGGAGAATCACTTGAACCCGGGAGGTGGAGTTTGCACTGAGCCGAGATTGCACCACTGCACTCCAGCCTGGGTGACAGAGCAAGACTCCATCAAAAAAAAAAAAAAACAAACAAACAAACAAACAAAAAGCGTGGAAGTGCTTAACACAGTACTTGACACAGCAGTAGGTCCTCAAGAAATATAAGTGTAATCTGATTTGTTATGCTTTATAAAGACTTTCCTCCATTTTTCACGTAGGAAAACAAAAATCCAGAGAAATTTGTCATTTGAAGTCAACTTACTTAAAGTTTACTCCCTGCAAATCACTAGGCACTTTCCTAATCTCCTCATGGCTGCTTTCATGTCCTGGTTTCTCAGAGTGTAGATCACGGGATTGAACATGGGGGTCATGACCGTGTAGCTGATGGACACAGCCTTGTCCATGGGGAATGGGGTGAAGGGCCGGGCGTAGATATAGATACAGGGAATGAAGATCATGGACACTACAATGATGTGGGTGGTGCAGGTGGAAGCTGCCTTCCTCTTTGCCTTTCCTGAGTGGGACCTCAGCATCACCAGGATGACAGTATAAGACATCAGAAGGAGGAGGAACCAGATGATAACTAGCAGCCCACTGTTGGAGATCATGAGGAACTCCAGGAGGGAGGTATCAGTGCAGGCAAGTCTCAGTACTTGGGGAACATCACAGTAGAAGTTATCTAGGATGTTGGGGCCACAGAAGGGCAGTGGAAGTATCAGAGCCAGTTGGACAATGGCGTGGACAAAGCCCCCCACCCAGGTGGCTACCACCAGCCCCACGCACAGTTGAGTGTTCATGATGGTGACATAGTGGAGGGGCTGGGAGATGGCTATGTAGCGGTCATAGGCCATGACTGAGAGAAAAAAGACAGTCCCACCTCCCAAAAGGTGGAAGAAGAAGATCTGGGCCATGCAGCCCTGGTAGGAGATTGTCTTGGTCTCATGGAGGAAGTCCACCAGCATCTTTGGAGAGGTGACTGTGGAATAGCAGAGGTCTATGAGAGCTAGATTTCGGAGCAGAAAATACATGGGTGTGTGGAGCTGGCAGTCAAAAGTCACTGTGACCATGATAAGGAGGTTTCCCACAATGGTGGTGACGTAGACAAATAGGAACAGAAGGAATAGGAGTTTCTGAAGCTCCTGGGTCTGTGAAAACCCTAAGAGGACAAACATTGATACCTGTGTGGTGTTCTGTGGTTCCATAGGATCTTCCCCCACAGGCCTACAGAGAAACCATTGAAACAAACAAACAAAAAAGAAAATTCAGTCATTTTCCTTGGACAGTCAGGACTGAGTTGATTAAAGTCATTGTTGAGTGCCAATCCAAAATGTAGCTTAGGAAAGCCCTCCATAGGGAGGATGTTCCATATGTGTTCAATGGTTCCACAGACTTATTTCCCTGACCATGCCCTACAGTATATTGAAGGAATCTGGGTCTTTTTTCCCTTTGGCCATACTGTCCTCATCCACAGGTTTCATATCTGGTTCTTTTTCATGCCTGCTATGCCCAGCATAGTGTCTTGTGAACCATAGGTTCCATAAAGCTAGTTGAATCAATCAGTGAATAAATAAACATGTCAGCAAGTACCTGTGACCACAAACACCGTCAACCTATGTGCATAAATCTTGATAGGATATACAGTTGAGAATAATGATTTTAGATAAACAAATAGTTGCTTCTTTATGGTGGGAATTTGAGAGGCTGTTAATTGCTGGAGAAAGAGAGGTTGCATTAGAAGAAAATTGTTATGTACAAAATCAGAGGTAAATGTGAAGAAAAACAAGCAGATAATCTTGGTTGTAGTGAAGCTGGGATGATTAGTGTTTCTCAAACGTTTCCCCGGAAGGTACTTCTCTAGTAGCATTTGTTGCCATGGGCCATCTCTGGGGGCAATTCAAAGCAGCCCAGGACAAATGCACTATCTCCTTGAACTCTCATGTTTTAACTTTTAAAATTTATGCGAATTTTCTATTATACACATATGCCTAGACAATCTTTGGCAGAGCTTTTAAAATGTAACTATTATGGTTCATAAAACTTTGACGAGACCAAAGTGTTATTAAAAAAAAAAAAAAAAAGAAGAGTGTTGGCTGGATGCAGTGGCTCATGCCTGTAATGCCACTGCTTTGGGAAGCCAAGGCAGAAGGATCACTTGAGGCCAGGAGTTTGAGACCAGCCTGGGCAACATAGCTAGACTCCCATCTCTATAAAAAATTTAAAAATTACCCAGGTGTGATGGCATGCAGCTGTAATCCCCAGCTATTCGGGAGGCTGAGGTGGGAGGATAGTTTGAGGCCAGAAGTTTGAGACAAGCCTGGGCAACATAGTGAGACCCCATCTCTACAAAAATTTAAAAAATTACCTGGGCATGGTAGTGCATACCTGTAGTCTCAGCTATTCAGGAGGCTGAGGTGGAAGGATTGCTTGAGCCCAGGAAATCAAGGCTGCAGTGAGCTGTTATGGCCATTGCACTCCAGCTGATCTTATCTCTAAAAGGAAAAAAAAAATTAGAGCATGGCAGGAGACATGATTCTTTAGTAAGTGAAAGTTCTAGAAGACATTAGCTTGAAAAATAAACTGAGTTCTTGGTGTTAAAACCCATTCTTTTGGGTTATATCTTTCCACAAGTATTTTCTCTAATTGTTCAGAAAAATTTGTCCCAAGGCCCCATCCTATAAAGACAATAGAACATAAAAAGGTCTCTTTTCCCTGATTCCCATCTGGCACATGGGCAGGGTAGCAGCAATTACACTGATGCTCTTACACAGGAATTGAATGAACATATTTGGAAAGATCTCGATAAACCTCTATGGACAAATGTAACAGGATTATCTCAAAAATTATCTATGAGGGATTTCAATACTCAAAATATTGTCATATTTGTCTTCACATAAAATTCACATTTATCCTGAGATATTTGTACAAAAATGATACTCCAGGAAGATCTGCTATGTTTGTTCTGTGGCTTCACCAACTCCCAGCCTAGGACTGTTTGAAAAATGTCCCCATGGGCAACTGAGAACCCTGGGAAGCTCTTCAGCAGGAAATGATGTGATAAAACAGGGTTAGAATGGGCTTATCCCAGTGCACCAGGGCAGGAGGCTCTGAGACAGGCAAGGGTAGTACACACCTTTCCTGGAGCATTGTTGCAGCAACCACAACAGAGGGTAACACATTTTGGTCTCTGACTTTGTGTCCTTTCTCTACCACGTGGTGTCGAGGTTAGACTGCATGGGCAGCCATTTAAATGGCATGGTTTGGCCTCTCTGGGAAAGCCCCTGACCCCTAATCCTTCATCCCCAGCTCCAACTCTCACACTTGATTACTGATTCCTGAAATGTTAACAGCATACTTCATTATTTTATCTTAAGATCTTTATCCCTACTAAGATTACACCCACCATACTTTTTCTTTCTTTCAGACAGGGTCTCGCTCTGTCCCCAAGGCTGGCATGCAGCGGTACGATCTCAGCTCACTACAGCCTCCAGCAGCCAGGCTCAAGCGATGCGCCCACCTCAGCCCCCCAAGTAGCTGGGACCGCAAGCACACATCACCATGCCTGGCTATTTTTTTTGTATTTTTAGTAGAGACAGGGTCTGTCATGTTGCCCAGGCTGGTCTCAAACTCCTGAGCTCAAGCAACCCACCTGCCTCTACCTCCCAAAGTGCTAGGATTACAGGTGGGAGCCACTGCACCCAGCTTACCACCCCCATACATTTTTATATGCTTTTATCAGTCAGAGATGAACAATGAAGTTTTTATGGATGTAAAGAAAAGATGTCTTGGTCTTGCCTTATAATACTTCACTAAAGGGAAGAGGAGTATGTGAAGTAAGTATGTGAATACCAAACTGTTGGTAATAGTGGTAGTTCTGAAAATGGTGATTCTCTCTGCTTTGTAAATATATACAAATTTCCATGATAACACATAAGATGAAAAGCCTCAGAGATACTCTAGTTTTGATCCTGATGTCTTTGTGTTATTTGGATATTTTTACTTTGAATGAACTATGTATAAATCGTGATGGAAGGAAGGAATTTTAAAATAAAATAACATGGCTATGTGCAGTGGCTCATGCCTTAATCTCAGCACTTTGAGAGGCTGAGGCGGCCAGATCACCTGAGGTCAGGAGTTCGAGAACAGCCTAGCCAACATGGTGAAACCCCATCTCTACTAAAAATACAAAAATTAGCTAGGCGTGGTGGCGAGCACCTGTAATAATATAACAATAATTCAAACTTATCTAGAATTCACTAATTATCCAAAAAGTTAAAGATAAAATATAGTAAGGAATAATTTTTTAAATTAT